CTGAAAGTAAGCAGCATGTGATAGACTTGGGAACTGCTGGGCTGTAGGGGTGATCTTGTGTTATTTCCCAAGCCCATGTAGTGGCAATGGTGATAATAGGGTTGAAATTGAGATCCAGGCCAGGCCTATACTTCTGGGCCAACCTTGGAGCTGCCACCAAGTATCGCTGTTCTGAGTGGCCTAGATAAGGGGAGATAGAAAATTGTTTCTCTTGATGGGAGGTTACAGGCCAGTGGAGTCATGTATTTTCTGAAATTTTGACTTGCTGAGCTCAAAAGGTTCGCCATCACTGCTATAGCAGTTCTGGCACTCAAAGCTACCCTAGTTAAAGAAGGGATATGGAAGAGAATCTTTTACATGACTAGGAGAAAGATAAGAGAACCTGGAAAATATATAATTGTAGATTCAATATAGGGATGTCCTATGTTTTTGGAAACGTTTTTGGAGTCCAAGCTTATACTTTGGCCAGACTTGCAAATGACTTGTCACAAAACTAGAATAAAATGGATTCAAACATGGATTTATTTCCTAGGTTATACTCTGGATTTCTCAGGCATGGTAAACAAATGCTTCTCTATTGTTTTTCTATTAAAACTACATTGCTTGATATATTGGATAGGATACTGCTTCATACTTTATCCCATATATGTGAATTTAATGCAACTTAAAATTAGTTTGTAGGTAGAAACAACCTGAAGGAGCAGCCCAAAGAATGCATCATCAAAACATGATTATGATTTTCTTGATTTATCAAACTAAAATACTGAATTGTTTTAAAAGAACATAATTTCGATGCAAACTTTGTAATGATCTGTTTGTATTAGAGATTATTCCCTTTGTTGTCTTTCTGTTGAAAATGTATATACTGCTAGTCTTCAATTTATGATTGCAGTTCAGCCCAAAATTTCCATTACTAAGCAAGATAGTTAAGTGGGGTTTGCCCCATTTTACGACCTATCTTGTCATAGTTGCTAAGTAAACCACTGCAGTTGTTAAGTTAAATAGTTTTATGAATCTGGCTTTCCATTTATTTTGCTTATCAGAAGGTTGTAAGTGACCCCCAAACACTGCAACCTTCATAAATACATGCCAGTTGCCATGTGTCCGAATTTTGAACATGTGGCCACATGAATGTTGCAACAATCATAAGTGAAAAATAGTTATGTCACTTTTTTCAATGCCTTTGTAACTTCACTAAACAAATGATTGTAAACTGAGGACTACATATGAAAATAATTATTAAAATGTCGTATGACTCATAGCACAACATCATATTAAATATTATTTAAAATCTATACATACCTTTATTGGTGTTATTGGGTTAGTATTTGAAATAAAGGGCATTACTTGCTGTAATTAGAAAAAAAATAAGAATTTAACATTCAAATACTGAACAAGTGTAAGCATACTCTTGTATCTCCTGAAAAACGCACAATGAACATTGCAAGATATGTGCAAGATAAAAAAGCTGTAGTACCCCTGCTTTTAAATTTGCATTGCTTACAAATTTAAAATGCTAATAATAGTTTCCTTTGTGGCAAGATTTCCTTTTGAATTTGTTTTGGGCAGATGTCTGCAAATAGCTCAGGATTTCTTTTTAGAGAAGCACTCTGCAACTTCCGTTCTTGGATTGAAATGATTTTTGCCTAGATAGCTATGATGGAGCACACAATCCACATGCTGAAGTTAGCTATGTGGCACTTGTTTGATGTAGTAGGTGAGGTGCTAAACTAGAAACCAGAAAACTGAGTTCTAGTTTTAGTCCCACCATAGCACAAAAAGCCAGCTGGATGTCTTTGGACCCATAATTCTCTCTCAGCCCAATCCACCTCATAGGGTTGTTGTTATGAGGAAAAGAGGAAGTTGGTGTATTAGGTATTTTCACCAACTTATTTGTAAAAAATAATAAAGGTAGGGTGAAAGAAATCTAATAAATATAAATAATAATATCTCATTCAATTTATCACCTTCTTGCCACTGTTCCTCTTCATATTTAAAATAACTATCCCATTACAGACAAACTTTAAAACGATCTTCAAATAGAACACATAATATTCTTCAAAACCAAATAGTCCCCACAGTACTATTATAATTCATGATGGGAATGAGGAGAACAGTTAATCAGTGATGATGTAGACAGGAAAAAAATCTGTATGTATGTAAGCAGGAGCGGTAGCATCTCTTCTCTCAGGCAGGAAAAAAATCTCAATTATATGTTGCAAGATTGATGTCCTACATCTTGGCTTTTGGCTGATGAACAGACTTTCCACTCAAAGAAGTAAGTAGTACAATTAAGTGTGCCAGTATGAATAATGCTGGGTTATTTTGCCATAGTAGCAATATGTCCATTTTATAATAGTTGGGGAAGTCACACAGTGAGATTGGAGTATTTCCATAGCAAAATGATAATGACTGCTTGAAGCTCCCCCAGTATGGTAGGTTGCTAAGGCAGAAAACAATACGAAATAGGTGTGTCTAAATGCATTTTGAATACAGTTACCGTATTTATCGGCATATAACACGCACAGGCGTATAACACGCATCTTCATTTTAAGAGGGAAATTTCAGGAAAAAAATAAGGGTGGACATCGGCGTATAACACGCATACATCATTTGCCCCCTATTTTCAGGGGGAAAAAGTGCGTGTTATACGCCGATAAATACGGTAATTGGCTTGGTGTGGGATTCTAGTTAATGGTTAATGTTAATTACCTTTAAACAGAGTTGGTCCTGTTTAGTACTTAGATAGTGAAAACCAGGAAAAATCAGAACTGGCAAGTTGAAAAGGTAAAAATTCTGTACTACTGGCATGAACATTATCATAGCCATAATCATGGAGTCAAGTTGAAGAAGACTTTAATTTGCAGGTTCATTTTGATGTGAATGCAACTATCCAGAAATATCAACTCTCATTTTATGCTTTGTTGATTTTCAAAATTTTATCAACTGAAGTTATTATTACGTCTAATAAGATGCAAGAAAAAAAGAAAAGGATACAGCCTTGTGAGTACCCTGGAAGTTACCTGAATGACAGGTAATGCCCTCATTGACAAGATTTTAATGGAGAATTTTCAGGCTTGATGTTTTCATGTTAACTAGAACAATATCGCCACTTTTAAACAATCTAAAATCTTTCAAAATAAGGAATTCATGTAAGGATTGATTGTATCTGATGCTTCAAATTGTTGAGATTCAAATAAGAATATAATCTGGAATTTTAAACGAAAACCTTAAATAGCATGGAATGGAATCCCAATAGCATTCAACTTTGTGCAGAAAGATTACCTCCTGGTTAAAGATTACTTATATGCTTATAGAGGGTGGTCATAGGAGTCAACAAAATTATGTGATATTTGCGGTAGAATTGCCTTGCATCATTCATTTTCTCTCAAGATATGTGGAGATTCCAAATCTCATAATTCACAGCAAGCACATGGTTGTAAGCAAGGCTGCTGTGATGAGTTCATGTCAATTTTTTTATCAAAATATGTTAATTAACTTAATTTAGTGTTCTAAAATGATATAAGCCTAGATGAAGATGCATCATAAAACAAGCTTACTCCTGCTTGTATATGCATTACAATGGCACATACATGTAAAAAAAGGAATGGAGTTTGCATCATGATGTCACAATGTGTATTTCATCATTTTATGGCCCTTGACCATGAATGAATTTATTTTTAAATATGAAGCAATTTATGTTTAGAATGTAAAAAAGAGACATTATATCTTTCTAATGCAGAAGTTAATATGACTAATATGGAAATACTTTATGACATCTGAATATACTGTATATTAGAGAAGATAAGCCCACACGTCATAGCAGATTGTCTCCTTCCCCCAAAACTGTTACAATTCTAAAAAAAATATCATTTAAAGAGTTTTTAAAGTATCACAAGGCTTGTAATTATGCTATCATTCAGATACATCCAAGATACTAAAGGCCAGACTTTAGACAGCTTTAAATTGCTTTATATAGTGTGAGTCATTGGCAACTATCTAAGGTTTTACCAAAAGCCTTTCAGATGCTACCTGATGGTTTAATTTCAAGATCACCGGGACTAACTGCATGTTGTGAACTCTAGATGTTGTGTTTTTTAACTTGAACAATCTATATGCTTTTATAAAATCACTAGGAAATAAAATCACTATAAAGCCACTAGGAAAAGCATTGACTTTGTTTTATTATATAAGCCTTTTCCTTGCAAAAATGTGAGTGTCTTCTCTCTGATGAAACCATTCATTTTAATTTGTGTCACTGTTATTACACAAGTTAACTATTGTTTTCATGCTATTTGATTCTGTGAGTAGCAGATGATGCTAAACCATTTTTTCCTTTTGGCAAAGAAAGGCTCAATAGTGATGGATTCCTTGAAGCCAGTCACCAAAATCTGGAAACAATTGATTCTTTTTCTATTTCTATTTGATATTCTTAAATTAAAGAGGCATTGCTTTTGAACATTGCCTGAGAACAAAAACAAGTCAAGGGATTGCCTTGCTGTGCCTATCTCCATTGTTTTAAATTCCATGTTGTCTCCTGTAGTAAGTAATGCTATCTGTAATTTAATAATTGCTGAAAAAAGCATTGTGTATGTGGAGGGAATTTTATTAGCAAAAAATATTAAACAAAAATGAACACAACAGATTCAAATTTAATACAGACATGAAAAATTATACTAATAAATATAATATTTTACTTGTGTTTAAACTTCTTTTGCTGTAATTTTTGGAAAACCTGACTTGTAAACTGAGATAAATCTGTTTTACAGTTTATAGTTCTAGTACATCAACTACAGTATATTTTTTACATATTCTCTGTAATTGGCTTGTTTTAAGAAGAAAGATTTCATGAATTGTGTGTTCTGTAAAGTATAGCTAGTATTCATGATGGTTAACCAGAAAGTCAACATCTGGAGGCCTTCACGTTTTCCAACTGAGGCAGGAAGAAATTAATTCCTTCTCATATTTCTTTTTTTATTTCCTTTTTGTCTTCTTTGTAGATCAATGAACTGAGCCATGTTCAAATCCCTATTATGCTGATGCCAGATGACTTCAAAGCATATTCAAAGATAAAAGTGGACAACCACCTTTTCAATAAGTAAGTTGGGCCAACTTCTGTTTTGTTTTATATTTTTGAATTGAAATAAATACATTTTTACTTAATTTTGATTCTCTGAAGTTTTTAAAAATATGCTAAGAATATCAGCAGTTCTATTGTGGAGTTGGTTTTTCAATATATTTTTTTGTAGTTGGATCCCAAAAGAAATTGAAAGGTGGAATTCCACAGGAGTGAAGGAAGTAATGTGCCTGCCCTTCTTGTAGTCCTGGTGTCCTAGAAAGTAATCCCTTCTCCAAAAGGTTGTGTTAGTGATTGAGGACAAACCCCCAAGCAGAGTGCACAGCAGCAATCAAGCCAGGCAGTCAAATGAGAGAGAGGCTGGGCCCAAGAGTATAC